TCTGGTCGGCGATGTAGTTCATGAGATACAAAACCACACGGATACATGTCAAAACGACCGCAGAGTTGGAGTGTGATAGGCGTGGTGTGATACGCTCCGCCAGGAGAAGAGCTTCGTTTCCATCTTGCGGCACGTATGACATGAGCGCCTCGAGGATGTACGTCTGACCCCATCTGAACGTCTGTGTCAGCACTCAATCTTGACATCACTCTTTAAATGTCAACCTACTCAGAGCAGTCTGCCAAGATAGCCACCATTTTTGAGGCATTGCTGTAGTCGATGGTGAGCTTGATCGCATCGCTGCGCTCCCAGATGTCCATCAGAGACGCCAAAGCGCTAGCAACGACCGTAGGGTTATCGTCTCTGAGCAGAGTATTCAGTCTGTCGATCAGATCTGAACCCTCAACCATTCGTCGGTCGTGGTCGTAGAGCTTCGCGACGCAAAATGCTGCCGTCTTCCTCACGTATGGGTCGGCATCCTTCAGCATGTGCTTAACCAGTGGAACAGTCGCTTCGACGAATTCGCGGACGTGGATGTAGGACATCGTTCGGAGTGCAAGCGCTCTGACGAGAGGGTTGTGGTCTTCCATATCCTGGGCACTGTCAGTCACGGCTTCTTACGCAACATCGCAACACGACAACCTACCTGCTCTAGTACTGGGATCGCCTGAACTGCAATCTCGGGTCGCATTCTGGCATAGTTCACCAAAAACAAGAAGCACCTGGAGTTTGTCAGAACGAGCCCCCTGGGAGCGCAGACATGAGACCATACATCTTCTTGATTTCCAGACTCTGGATATGCATGCAGCCGATGATGTCGGGGAACAAGGCGACCATGTCATTGTTGCTCATGGTCATGTTGGCGACAATCTTCTTGAGGGCGATTTTCTTGTTCGCATTGTTCTTGTCCTTCTTGCCACCGCTGTTCAGCTCGAGCCTCAGCTCGGCTACCTTGCCCTTCGAGGTTGTCAGCTGTCTGGAGATGTAAGGCGGCGGGGGCGCATAGGCCATGAACATGCTGGGCGGCGCATATGCAAGCATTCAGGCAAACATGGGCCAGAAGGAGAGGCTCGGTGGTGGTTGCGAGGCAGCTCAAAGCCGCAGGATGCAGAAGGCTAGGGTATGCGGGAGAGGGGAGATAATGTAGACTTTCAGAACCAAGACCTTGACTTCTTCAAAGTCATGACAGGGGTTCAGATGCAATACATGCAGGTATCACACGACAAGAGACGGGCGCACCCAGCAAAGAGTGTGCAAGACAGGAGAGGCAGAAGCGAGAGCTTACCCTGGCAAACAACTTGGAGTCTCCTCCACCCTGAGCGGCCGACATGATGACGCCCTCCTATATGAGACCTGGCGGTGGTCGGTGTGGTAATATGTAGTGCGAATCTTAGACAGTAGTTCCCCTCTAGACAGGCCTCCAACAAGCTTTGCTGGCGTGTGCTTCGATCGGGTGGTGGTGGTGGGCGATAACACCACAGACCCCTCACGCCTAGCTGTACGAAAGTCGGCAGAGGATGGGTAGGTATCGTTGACGCTGTTTGCTTCCCCCGCGGGCCTAGGATCAAGCCACCCAATTGGTAAGAGGGTCGCAAAAGTTGGCGGAAGGCTGCAGTTTTCCTGGACTCGAGTGTCTTGGAATGGTGGGAGGGGGCGCAGGTGCAGAAGTGAGGGATGTCACATGCGTCGTTGGGGCCGGGGGGTTTTCGATTCGCGGCCAATCGAAGGGTGTGTTTGCTGCGATAGTCCTTCTCTCGTCTCGATGCCAGATGCCGGCCGGATCTCCTCGAGGTCGGAGTTGTTTGATTTCTCGCGCGACGCAAGTCCGATCGATTTCGCGGGTTCGGCAACGGTCGATTGAGGAGTGCCGGTTTCGGTGCAACGGCGACTTTGCGGGATGTCGTCGTCGTTGATCGGTTCTCGTGGACGGCCCGTTTTCGTTTCCAGATGTTTAAGGGGAAACGTTGGGTGAGAAAGGGTCCCAAAGCTCCCGCCGTTCCGCGGTGGATGCGACAGGCCCCCGGTACGCTACTTTACCACTCGCATGTCGCAGCAGTCGCGCTCGCCCCGGTTTTAGCTTATCGGCCTTATGCAGGGCCGATAAGACATGGACCCGACCTCCGGTTGCTGCTAAGGCAAGCAGGCGACATCGCCTGTCCCATGGTTTAACCGAGCTGTGGTGGGGACCTTATCCAACGTCGTCGCGAGCTGTCAACGCCGCCTCCGAAGCTTTCATCCCAACGGCCGCGCCCGTGTCCTCAATTACCGAACCCGAAGTCCCAACCGACCGATCTCGATATCTACAAAGATGGCTCTGGTCAATAGCTCCGTGCCGCGATGGGTCGCGGATTTGCAGTCTCCTCCGGCCGCAAAGTCCAAGGTCTATGGCATTTCCGACCCCCCCGGGTACCCATCGCAGTCCACTGGCTCCAAGGTACGGAATCGCGTCGAGATCGCATTGGAGCCGCGCTGACATCTCGATACAGAAGCAGAAGGATCAAAAGGTCCAGCCCCAGCCCCGCAAGCAGCAGTCGCCCGAGGAGATGGACACGTTGAAGGTCAAGAAGGCGTGGGAAGTCGCCCTCGCCCCCGTAAAGAACCTGCCCATGACGGCCATCATGATGTACATGTCGGGCAACTCACTGCAGATCTTCAGCATCATGATGGTCTTTATGGCATTCAAGAACCCTCTCGTCGGTCTCACTGCGGTCAATCAGGCGTTTGAGAGGTTCGAGTCGGAGACGAACAAGGGCAAGATGCTCCAGGTCAAGCTGGCATACGTTGCTATGCAGTTTGTTGCGCTGGGCTTGGCTGTGTGGAAGGTCAACTCGATGGGATTGTTACCGTATGTGTTATCGTCTGCAAGCATTGGTCATATACTAACGCGAATGCAGGACAACGCGATCAGATTGGCTGGCTTGGGAAGTCCGCAGAGAGCCCCTGGAATTCTCAGTGCCCGCGTTATAGACATTAATTCAATTAAAGGCTGTGTATCAGCTAATTTCCGCCTACGTTATCATTAATCGTCATTGTTTGTTGCTCAGATTGCCCGCTCCCTGCAGTTGACGCCGCAGTTCCAGGACCCAATAGGCTGGGTGACAGGATCATGTTCAGGAACAACTACTAAGCTTATGTCGTTGAATGGATCATCTTCTATGGGCGTATCAAGCCAGCGTTGCCTTTGTGTCGAGGTCGAATCGTCATGTGGACTAACATCGAATCCTACAACGTCACGTTGATCATCCGATATCGCCTGTTGCCGATCATGCAGCGGTCGTTGTATTGGAATAGCCACGCCGTTATTTAATATGCCTGCAGTTTCTTCCGCTGGTTTTTGGAGAACCCTGGCAACAGCGGTGGCCCTTTCGGCTAACATGAAAGCCTCAGTTACGTCGTTCTCGTCGTCAAGGATTGCCTCTAAGGGCAGCTCAAGGGGCAAGTTCTCGAGAGGTTGGAGGTGGATCGCTCCAAGCTCAGTGAGAAGGCTGTCGACATGAGTCTATTAAACGAGTCAGTTCCGCACTAAGGCCGGGTTGGATGATCCTGTCTCACCATCTCGGTCAACGTCTAGGTTGGTCTGAATGTATGTATGGGTTTGTTTGTCACGGCTGAGGAGCTGCTCATTGCTTTTCATGGAGGTGGGGGCCATAGACCTTTATAGCCATCGACCGATCCTTAGACTGTAGTCGAGGTTGAACGAGAGGCTTCGTGTGTCAAGGCTGTCCATGTCGAAGGTAACAGCATCGTAAGCTTATTTTTAGCTCACAATGATCAAGACAACCATCGCAACACCACGAAGAGGACGTGTTTCAACCAGTAACGCTCTCCCGTCACGCTCGTGTTTGTTTTTAACTACAAGCGGCTGAAGTCAATCCGAGTCTTTACCCCAATCAGGACATCCCAGCCGATTAAGAGACAATGCTCCGTACGAGCCGGCAATATCCCCCATAGGTCTTTCGGAGTCGGTTCTGACGTCCTGTCGCGTGCTCATTGGCCAATTGGTAGGGAAAGCAGGCTTCTGGAGCTGTACCTGACACTAGGACGATGACGATCCCTTTACATTCCAGCTCTGGGTTCCAAAATGGGACCAAATCTGGAACATGACCACCCACCGTTTCCTGGCGTGTTTTTCGAAACAAGTGGGCTTGCTGGCCAGGCCATGCTTGCCCATCCGCACACTAGAGGTCGCTCACCCGCAAGAAACCTGTGTACACGATGCCGTGTTTGTGCAAGATGTCTCTGTTGATGTCTCTCGTGGTTTCTGTCGGGGCAGTGGATGTCTGATCCGCGGCCTTTGTTCTTCGTCTATCCAGACGTGCCCTGAATCGCCCGCCCAACCTCCAGCCGTAGGTGGGTGGTTGCCTCGACTGCCTCACCGGTCTAAGTCGACGCTAACATATCTCCCTTCTCAAACCTTCGCGGAATAAGCCTGTCAGGTCTTACCAAAAGCCAATCCCCGAAGCTGTATCCTGGGCATTTGCACATGCTTATTGAACGCGGCACCGAAAACAGAGAAATCCATGTTGAGAATCGCGAAGGAGGCTCAAGTAGCAGCCTCGATGACATACACCTCATTCTCCATCCAGCCCCCCCTATTTCCCATTGCTGCTTTGTCCGTTGTGGACCGACAGAGACCGATGGCTGAGACCATCCAACCCAGCAGAGAACACTTAGGATCGAGGCAACGGGACTGGTGTACGGGCGCTGCGGTAGTGCTATCGAGCCATTTGGCGGAACGTCTGGAGCTTTGGCATCGTTCCGTGGCGTTGACCCGCATTCTAGATATGAGGGGTTACAGTTGGCAGGTAAGCCACGGCGGAGGGACTAAACGATCACGGGCTCGATGACAGACCGCGCAAGAAGACCACCCTCGATGTTTGGCCGTCACATACGAAGCAACTGACTCGAGCAAGATGGTCTGAACAAGTTGTGAGATCTAAATGACGCTATCAGTTATCGCATCTGCCTAACCGCGCTTTGCGCAACAATATACCCAATCATCACGAGGCTTCCTTCATCCGCCTCTCATTCCTCCAGCCCGGCCCATTTCTAACAATCAGAAACATCATCGGACTGGTCACTGCGCACAACGCAGCAATGAACGTGAAGCACCACCCCCTGCCCATGCCAGAAATCATGTACTCGATGATGGCCGTGCCCACGGCGCCCACCAGGCACCGGACGAGGTTGTTCGCGGCCGTGGCCGTGGCCGGCGCCTCGGGGTACAGGTCCACGATCAGGGTGTTCATGATGCTGAAGGATCCCGTGATGGTGAGCCCGATGATGCTCTGCAGCACCAGCGGCGCCGCGACGCTCGTCTCGAGCTGCAGCACCCAGCCGTACGCCACCAGCGTGATCAGGCCGACGATGACGGCGGGGTACACCGGCTGCAGGCGGGCCTTCTCGATGGGGAACTTGCTGAGGTCGTCGCCCCGCCTGCGGTCGATGGTGAATCCGATCTTCCTCGCGATGCGCCGGTAGTTCCAGTCGAGCACGTACCCCTGACCCAAGCTCGCGATGCAACAGCCCGCGCCGTACGGCAGATAACACAACCCCAGTTGCAAATCATTAAAGTGGTAAATCTCGCGGAACAAAGTCCCCAGCGTCGCGGCCACATCGATGAAGGCAACGTACAACAAGGAATTGTACACCAGGATCAGCGCCATCTCCTTTTCAAAGATGATCTTCACCGCCCTCAATGGGTTCGGGAACCTAAGCTTGCGCGCCGGCTGCCCCGCCACTGACTCCTGCCTCTCCAGCCCGGCCGCCTCCCGCTCGCGGTGCCGCCGCCGCCGCCGGATGAGGTCCAGCACGGGGCGGTTCCACGTCTGCGCCGGGACGGACCCGTTGCCGACGACGTTGCGGCACGTCTCGGGGATGAAGAGCGCGAACGGCACGAGCCAGGCCCCGATGAGCGCGACGCAGAACCAGAAGATGGACGCCCAGCCAAAGTACTGCGTGAGCACGCCGCCGAGGACGGGGCCGATGGTGGGGCCGACGTTGATCCCCGCGCCGACGATGCCCATGTACTTGCCGCGCTCGGAGGACATGGAGATGTCGGCGACCATGGCGAAGCCGAGGGCGATGGCGCCGGAGCTGCCGCCGGATTGGAACATGCGCAGGACGATGAGGGCGGCGTAGTTGCGCTGCAGGGCGAGGCCGATGTTGGCGACGAGGTAGATTGCGAAGGCGACGAGGAAGGCGGGGCGGCGGCCGGCCATGTCGCCGAAGTCGCCGAAGAGGGTGGGCGAGATGGCCTGGAGGATCATGTAGGAGGTGACGGTGAGGTTGACGGCGGCGACGGAGACGTGGAGGTCCTCGGCGATGGGGGCGAGAACGGGGTAGTAGATGTTGGCGGACATGGGCGGGACGAAGCAGGCGACGGCGGCCATGAAGGCGACCCAGCGCTTTGTGGACGGGGGGAAGGCGCTGTAGGCTGGGCCTGAGGGTTGGCGGGTGAGGTTCTCGGGATCATCTTGTGGGGTTGTTGGTGAGGGTTCGTCAACGGGCGTGTTGTCTGAAGAGTTGTCGATGGAAGCGGTTTCGTCTTGTTCTTTCTCGTTGATGGGTTGAGGTTGTGAAGGGGTGGGTATTACTGGCGGCTCAGCCGAGTTGATGACGGACGGTAAACTTATTTCTCCCCCTTTTGGGGGGATGTCATTGTGTGCCATACTGATCTCAACTCTGAGTGCAGAAAGACTGAAGTCGGTGTGAATATCACGAGTTCAAGTGAGATGAACGAAAGTACTTGTACGGTTCGATTCGCTACACCACTGTCGATGAAGTTAGAAACAAGACAGCGTCAACACAACATACAAAACAAAGGACAAAATCCAAGATAAGAGGAAAGAACCAAACACCAATAGATCGACCTTCCCTTCATGTAAAACTTGTCGTCGGTATCCGTCCGTAAGCGGGCCCTATTCCCGCCCACCGGGCCGCCATGAATGATGTTATTTCCGCCCTGGCATCGCCTCCACCACACCCTGGAAAACCGGCACCTGCGCCGTTCGCCATTGCGGCTCTCGTGATTCGCCCGGTCCGGCCCATGGTGTCCACCACGCCCGCTGTTTTGGGCAAGTGGTTCTGTCTCGACGGTCTGGCATTGACCGCGATGCGACAAGCTTGGTGCGGTATCGGGAGTTTGGGCGAGCGTCGAGCTGACTCCAGCTCTGCTCCATTGATTTTCGTTCAAAGGCACGGGGTCACTTGACCAGCTGGTTCCTGTCGTGCAATGAGAACGAAGGCCGATTTCGGTTCATCATTGTGGCTCAGTTGTCTGTCATCAACGTCTATGAAGGGACTCTCTGGCCAATATGCATGTTGAAACCGGTGTCGAAATGTTTAACCGTCTTCTTCGGCGGCGAAGCTTCCTGCCACCGACCCTGGTGGATACTGGGCCGTGCGTTTTGCCGACAACGGTGCCGAAGCTGCGCCGGTAGAACTCGCCTACCTACGCACGGCCACATGCGCCACAGGTGTCAAGACGCATCAGCCACAGAAATGTACTGTGGCTGGTGAGTCCAACGGCCAAAGCCACGTCATTGGAGAACAGCTTGCCAATTCCAGGTTGTGGTGGAATGTCGATGGCCTCTAACGACGTTGCTGCTCGACTGCACTCACGACACACGAATAGCATGCGCACCGAAACTAGGTGACGAACCCCTCAACTCCCTCGAATTTGTCGTCTGGCCGACCCCAGCTACGGCCGCAATGGACATCACACCACTCTTCAACGAGCTCCTCCGGAAGCACAATGCGCCCCCCGTCACCGAGAAGAAGCTCAGCCTCGAAGCGATTGACGGCTTCCTGAAGGAGGCCTACAGAATAGTTGGTCGCCCCATCCCTCCAGCAAACCACCCAAACCCAACTAATGCCTCTTTCCAGAACTCCCACATCACAACCCTCCACAAAGAGCTCAAAGACGTCCGACAAGCCTACCTCTCCACCGCCCAACCGCGGCGGCATGTCCGCACGAACACAGGGAGCAGCTCCCTGAAGGAACCCCAACAGCCCCTGACGGACCGACAGCGCGAGGACATCGACGCGCGCGCCAAGTCGATGCTGCGCGAGCTCAACGCGTCCATCCGCGCGCTGGATGAGACGGAGCAGCTGCGCCGCGAGACGGAGGCGGCGGTGATCCGCAAGACGCACGTGCGCGGGCTCGGCGCGCTGGGCGCGTGGGCGGCGGGCGCGGAGGTCGCGGACGCGCGCAAGTCGGCGGAGCACCTCGCGGCGGAGGGGAAGGCGCGGGACGTCGGGCTGCACCGCGACGGCGTGCTGTGGAGCCTGCGGCAGGCGCTGCAGCTGTGCGGGCGGACGCAGCAGGACATGATGGAGGCGAGGCTGACGAGGGAGATGGAGAAGAATAGGAGCGTGCTGGCGAAGGCGGGCGGCGGGGCGATGCCGGAGCTGGGTGGGGGGTTCTACGAGGCGATGAAGAGGGAGAAGGAGGCGAAGAAGGGAGGGTTTGATACGGCGACGGGGCTGCCGCCGGATGAGGGGTCGTATGACTTCAGGCAGGACCTTACGGAGGAGCAGATTCAGATGTTTGAGAAGGGGAATCAGGACATGCTGCAGCATTATAACAGCACGTTGGACAAAGTCAGGTACGTGGCATGGTGGTTCCTTTTCAAGACGGCTTTTGCTAACATGGGTGTTTGCGCAGGACGGCAGAGAAGTCGCTGATTGAGATTGCCGAGTTGCAGACGTTGCTTGTGGGCAATCTCGCGACGCAGTCGGCGCATATCGAGCAGCTGGTGTCAGATTCGGAGAACATCACAGCGGACGTTGGCGGCGGTAACAAGCAGTTGAAGAAGGCGACGCAGAGGCCCAGTGCGGCGAGGTACACCTTCTTCGCATCGGCGGGGTTATGTGCGTTCTTGATCTTGTGGGATTTGGTGATATAGATACCTCAACTGCCTCATAAGGAGGCTGTAAAAATACACATCAATGCTCAATCTCTCGTAGGATGTTCAAAGTAAGCTGGGGGATGGCGGGGGAGGCTGGCATGTGAAAGCATGGGGTCTAGCGTCACATGCCGGATGGAAAGCCCAGACCAGGACCAGGTGACCTCTCGCATCAAGCCATCTCGATTTAATTAACAGCAAATCTGGACCGGTTCCCTCCAGCCCGGCCATAGTATGAAGATGGCCACTATTCAAAGGCGTTGTAAACGCGCAGAACGTTGTTGCGGTGTGCACAATGTTATGTGCGTTGGCTGGCGGGTTTCTCCGAGGTGCCACAAGACGGAGCTCTATCGGCGTCTGGGCCACGGCACTTGGAGCTGTTGCGAAGCGAGCTTCTGATTGGCGCTGTTAACTGCGTCAAAGTAGGTACATCTGATGTGCGAAACAGAACCGGGGGTCTTCATCCAGGCTTTGGAGGGTGCTCGGCGTCGTAATCCCGTGGAGCCGGGTTATTTGGGAGGGTAAATGGGCTGTGAGAGGAACTGCCTGTGATTGCAGCGTGTGCAGAGTGTTGCTGCAGACATGTTGTGTAAGTTGGTGTCAACTTGCATGAGATGGGATGATCTTCAACCGTTCCTGTCAGGGCGTCCCGGAGCTTGCACACTCACTGCACTGGGTTCTGGGGAAGTCTCCGGAGAAAGACGGATCGTACGGACTAGGACGAAAATGAAGAAAAGGCAAAACATCAAGTGAACCATGTGTCGAGGCATCTTCGAGTCGTGCCGTGGCCGTTGGGCGGCAGAGAGAGTCAGTCATGGGGGGCGGCGCTGCTCCCGAGACCTCGGCCCATCCGCAACAGTGACCTCACAGCTCGAGCTTAGGGAAGCCGGCTGCGGGAGGATAAGAGAGGGCGCATTCCCCCGCGGCGGGCCCTGCAGCAGCAGCAGAGGCAGCATCAGTGTGATCGGAGTTGTCCCGTCATTGAACAATCCCGTTTTACCTGCACACGCACTTTGTAGAAAACGATTCCCGATAGTCCCCCGACACTTCGCCGATTCCTGCCTCTGCCCAGCCGGCATCTCACTCTTCGGTGTCCCCCTCTATCAACCCGCTGTCGGATATTATCGTCAAACACAGACAGACTGATTCTCCTCCACGGGTTTCTTCTCCCTCTCACTGTGTCCAGCCAGCCAGCCAGCCCCCCCGAATCCGCAAAATCAAGCCAGCCAAGACAAAGACAGCCCACAACCGCCGGCTGTCCGCGCCCGTTTCGAGTAACAGGTTACGAAATAGCTGCCCGCAGGCTGTGGATACCTCTTACTTTGTATTACCCTCGCCGCCGCATCACCTGGCCGTACCTGTTTTTTTTTTTTCCTCAGTCCTCCTGGAATTCCAATCCCGTAAGCCTGTAAGGTAGGTAACCAGGGCCCCCGTTCCCCGATCGTCCGAGCAGCCCCCGTAACGAGGCCACCCCGTTGTGCGTCTGTGTCTGTGTCGGTCTGCCCTGTCTGTTTTGTTTGGTCCTGCATCAGCCAAACCAAACAGTGCCTATTTTCTGCAGCTCTTTTTCTGGCTGTAACTGCACCTGTAACGCAACTGTCTGCAACGGTCTGTAACTGACTACCTTACCCTAGGTGCTTAGCTACCTTTACCTTCTTTGAGTATCCGTACGCCTCTTCACCAACCAACCACCTTACTACGCAGTACTGCAAACCTGCAACACTCGGCGAGACACCGCGTGCAGCCCCAAGGTGAGCAACCAGCAAAGTACCTCCTTTATCTGGGAGGAAGTCCTCTTACATCGTCATCCCCGCCCCCGTGGTACATCTCTTACCTCACCATCCCACCTCGTCCCCAGGTACTTGCACAGGTTCCCCTAGCCAATCCTTGGATTGTGCAGTAGCTTCCCCCGGCCTGCAACAAGCTGCCCGCTGCCATGGAGGCGCATGTCCGCTTCCACCTCCCTTTCTTTCTACTATACTTGGTCACTCCCTATGTCCCGTCCTTTTCCCCGGTTGGCGCCTGTAATCGCAAAGCCTCCTATTCGCCCGTCTAAATCGTACCACTTCCTGATGCCATAATAATAACAACGACCCCAGGCGACCCTTCCCTCTGACTCGTTCCATCTCACGAAAGCTCCGACACCACTTGAAAATGCCGGGTGACTCCTCGTCGTCTTCTTCTGCATTTTCTCTCTCTGCTTCCTCTCCCTCATCCTCTTCCTCTCCTCAGACAAACTCTACCCTTTCGAGAATACGCAACATTGCACAGCACATCATGGCGCCCGTATCAACGACAAGCTTCCCCGCCAGCACGGTGCCCCAAGCTCCCGAGGACCCCCTCTTCGGCTTGATGGCCGCCTACAGGGCCGACCAGAGCAAGGACAAGGTCGACTTGGGCATTGGAGCTTACCGCGATGACAACGCGAAGCCTTGGGTCCTGCCCGTCGTCAAGAAGGTGCGTTCCTCTCTACTGCTGCTTCTCACAGCTTCTCGACCCGTTTCCGTGGCATTTTTCTGTCGTCACGAACCCTCCGGCCCACCCGCAGAAAAGCTCAGCTGCGTCACCCGGCAGCCGCAAACCGGCTGATGCGATGGGTGCACCACCTATTTTTGACGAGATTTCCCCTCATGCCGCCTCCACTTCCCTCCCTTCCTGAGCCCCTACCTAAGCCCCTAACGTGAACCCACCCCCGCTGACCCCGCCATGATGCAACTGCACAGGCCGACGAGATCCTCCGCAACGACCCTGAACTCAATCACGAATATGCCCCCATCGCCGGTATCGTCAGCTTCACCTCAAAGGCCAACGAGCTGATGCTCGGCGCCGACTCGCCTGCCATCCGCGAGAAGCGCACCACCTCCGTCCAGACCATCTCCGGCACCGGTGCCGTCCATCTCGGCGCCCTCTTCCTCGCCAAGTTCTACAAGGGCAACCGCACCGTCTACATCTCCAACCCGACATGGGCGAACCACAACCAGATCTTCGGCAACGTCGGCCTCCCCATCGCCCAGTACCCCTACTTCTCCAAGCAGACAAAGGGCCTCGACTTTGAGGGCATGAAGGCCGCCATCTCCGCCGCCCCCGACCGCTCCATCATCCTCCTGCACGCCTGCGCCCACAACCCCACGGGCGTCGACCCGACCCAGGAGCAGTGGAAGGAGATCGCCGCCCTCCTGCGCCAGAAGAACCACTTCCCCTTCTTCGACTGCGCCTACCAGGGCTTCGCCTCCGGCAACCTCGCCCGCGACGCCTGGGCCGTCCGCTACTTCATCGAGCAGGGCTTCGAGCTCCTCATCGCCCAGTCCTTCGCCAAGAACTTTGGCCTCTACGGCGAGCGCGCCGGCTGCTTCCACTTCGTCACCGCCCCGGCCTCCGACGCCGCCGACACCACCTCCCGCATCGCCTCCCAGCTCGCCATCCTGCAGCGCTCCGAGATCTCCAACCCCCCGCTGTACGGCGCCCGCGTCGCCAGCACCGTCCTCAACGACCCCGCCCTGTTCGCCGAGTGGGAGGACAACCTGCGCACCATGTCCGGACGCATCATCGAGATGCGCAAGGTCCTGCGTGCCAAGCTTGAGGAGCTCGGCACCCCAGGCACCTGGAACCACATCACCGACCAGATCGGCATGTTCAGCTTCACCGGTCTCAGCGAGGCCCAGGTCTTGAAGCTGCGCGAGGACGCCCACGTTTACATGACCAAGAACGGCCGCATCAGCATGGCTGGTCTCAACACGAGGAATGTCGAGTACTTCGCCAAGGCTGTTGACAAGGTCGTTCGCGAGTCGCAGTAGACGATGCATGTGCGTTGTGTAGGCCAATTGGGACCCGGGCTGTAAAGGCGGCCCGAGGATTGGGAGGAGCTTTTATTAAGACTTTACATGACCGTCTGATGAACAGATTGACGGCCGAAGGGACACACGGCAGGAAATGGAAAAAAAGAGAATAGATTTCCCAGCTCTGGAGTATTCAAGCATCACGTCTTTTTCACTGCATCACTTCATTTTGCGACATCTACGGGCTTACCTTTATTTTGGTTCAGTGTTGAATTTGCCATGATACGTCTAATCACGCCTGCTCGGCGTAGATGTCGTCAAGGTTGCCAATTGTGATTCCAGCCATAACCGCAAACAAGGTTCCTAGACTTGTGTATAGACTAGAACATGACCGCACGTTCCATGCCTGTGATGCTGAAAGTCCAGAATGCGGCCCCAATCGTGGGATGACTCTCGCAGTCACGTTGTTCGTCAAAAAGCTGGGGCATGTGACCATGTGCTGGCACATTTGCTCCAACGTAGCTGAATGCCAACGCCGGACTCAACGTTTTCGACAAGCGCATCGTGACGTCGCGTCCGGAGGAATTGTACTCGTTTTGAGCTAGGTTGAGGGCCTCCACGACGAGCTGCATCTTTCTACGACGAGCTGCATCTTTGAAACTGGTCGGCTGGTTGGAATCTCAGTTCTCGGCTTCAGCAACTTGCTCGTCGAAAGTCGATCAAAAAAATGTCAATGGTTGCCGGCCGCATGGCTGTTTCTCTAAGTTCTGATGCAGCTTCCTCTCTCCATCTGAAAGCTTTCAGGCGAGAGATCTGTGAGAAAAATGGCTTTCCTTCGCTGTTTCGTCTTTTCCTCTCGGCAGGTCGAACGACGTAGGATCTCATGAGTTTAGCTGGTATTGCGCGTGCTGCTGCTGCAATCGAGCATTCAAGAACAATGTGGCCCGGTTCAGGAAGAATCAGCCGGTAAGCTTCTTCAGAGCTGAGCCGTCAGGGTTGTTGCCCGGTGTAAGTGGGAGTCGGGATGGTGATTGGTCGGTTCGGTCTCGATGGTACGCTTTTGGCGGAATGTCTCTGTTTTGGTTTTTCACTCATCTTCCGACCAATCCTCATCTTTCCCTTCTAAGTCAAGCAGTCGTCGATGTATCCGGCCCTGAGTTGCTCCGTTCAGAACTCAGATACAGCAGGAGCGCTCAATCGGTTTCGTCCCAGCAGGATGTCGAGTCAGAATATCCCAGGTTTTCATCTCGTAAGTGGCGCCCATGGTCGGAATCCTCCCTGCTTTTGTTTTTTGTTTTCCTTGGCGCGGGGAAAAAAGGACGAAGGTATGGCGGAAGCAGATGAGGACTTGGGGTCAGAAGTTCAGGGACGACGTCCCGATTATCTACCCTCGACACCCCGTGGCAATCGGCCCTTCTCTCGGGTGTTTACGGCTAACGGTATGCCCCATGCCGGCAGACGGGAGTGGCTGCGCACCCCTGCTGGTGTAGGTTTTGTGGGGTGTGCCTCCGTGATTTCACGATGCGGCGGTGGTTTGTTTGTCCCTCTCTGCGATTAAAGTGTGGTTGACGCGGAAAGTATTGACCGGAAGATGTCTGCTATTCCGCTGTTCCGCGAGCCGGAGTAGATAGATTCCAGAGAGGAGAGGGTTGTGGGCGAGTCAGAGATTGCTGTGATGAACCTGTGTGCCATCGGGAATACGGTACTACACTCCCCCGCAAGGAAATCTCTCTTTCCTGGTTTTTGTTCTTGCGGGGGAGGAAGATGACTGGAGGATCTGCCTGGCTTTGCTACCGGGGTGGTGTGGTGGTTTTTGGTATTGGGGAAAGTTGGAGGTTGCTTGTTACCCCAGCCGGGCAATACGCCCTGCGATGTTCATCCCGTCTTTGGACAATCGTGCTCTATGGAGTAAAGCCTCAATGCCTCCTTTGATGGTTTTGTTCCTTGAATTAGCATTACTACCATCCGTTCTCTGTAGTGGATGGAGAACCGAAAAGCAAAGGAGATATCATGCTTTCCCGTCCTCGTGTTGAAGCTCCCATGGCAAGGTTACATCTCCGTCGTTCCGTCTAACCATTCTCCCGGGACAGCTTCCAGCAACGCCGTCTTGGGCCCATCCACTCTTCTATGCGGAGTAATTGATCAGAGTGGTCCTCACCTGACAACGCAATGGGCCAGCATGCCGCTTGAATCACCATCTTGGCATGCCTCGCCCATTTGAGGCACAGCCAAAATTGTGAACAAATCCCAAAAAGAAAGTGTTGATCCCCCGCAGCCCTAGCCCCAACCGCCTCAGCTAGATGAGCTGTGCCGCAAGGAGGCGCTCTCGGCAGAGGTGCGCATGAGCACACCTGCATCCTACTGCAATCAACGCCGACTACGTATCTTGCTCTTTTCGTATGCATGTTCGGACTCATGTAAGCGCCATGCCGCCCCTCTGACATGGAGGCTTTATGACGCTCTGCAGATGAGCACACATCGAGTAGACCGACATGCTCTGCTATCAAATTTGCCAGAACACGGCTCGAAACGGGTGAATCCTTCTTTTAAGCTGCCAGAAACTTGTTGACAAGCAGTGCGGGAGGTGGTAAGACAGAAGCCCGGCTTTCAACTCGGACTTCCGCCAGAACCTCGGGTATGATTCGCTCGAGGTTCGTCCCGAATCACCGAATACGGCCACCGTCCCCCGTTATCGCCAAGCAACCCTCGTCTAAACCAACATCGACGTTGAGCCATTCCCCATATCCAAAGTTGGAGCTAGCCCGTTGCTTCGTCGTTCCCCCTCACGGTTCACCAAACAAGATGCGGAGTTACCGCCCTTCACCCACCCATATTTTAAGCACAAACCATCCGACATCTGGCCATGTGAGCGCTGCCCATGGGGGAGAAACCCGTGTAACCAAGTGTGGGGGAGAACAGCTTCCCCCCCTTTTCTTCCCCGCAGTCTTATTCTGAGTGGCTCCTTTTCGAACCTGGAGTCGGAGGACCGCCGCTTGCGTTCCCTGGTTCCCCCGTCAAAAAAGCAACTGAATGGAGACTCGAGATGCACCGCGCCGCCATCTGACTGGATGGATAAATGCAAACACCCCGGCCTCTTGGCACCATCCGGCTCTTTTGCAATTGTTCAATTTCATTTCGGGCCTTCAACCACCTGGGCGTCGCTTTGCACTCCCGTCCTCCCGCCTTAGCACGCCCTCCCTCGGGACTATTCCAAACCACACACCAACCAACCAACCACCCCCATGCCCGGTACTCAGTGCTGTTGCGTCTGCTTTTGGAGAAGCAGGTCAGACGGGAATCCGAGCATGGGGTAACACTGGCGGGTGTTATGGCATATAAAGACGGACGGGGTGGGACCTCGTCTAGAAGACGCGTTGGTGTTGGAAATTGGATCGAGGAAGTTTGCGCACCGGTATCCGTAGCCTGCACAAACCCCAGGCCTTGGACTCGGTAGTATATACTCCCGTCTTGTATGAAAGCGGATATAACCTCTCTATCGAGCCCATCTCCCTCCCTCTCCATTTTGTTGTCCCCAACCGTCCGCGATACTCTCGTCGTTTCTGCCTCGTCCGCCTTTTCGGACTCAGACTCCCCGAAGTTAAGAAACATCCAAGCCTGCAAGGTCTTGACCAGCGACAATGGTTGCCATCAAGCGCGCCCAGGAGACCGGGGCCGCGGACCCCATCCTGACCCGCATCTCGGAGGAGGACAAGGTGCCGTGGTACCGGAAGCCGAACCTGCGATACCTCTACCTGATGCTCTTCCCGACGTGCATGGGCATCGAGCTGACGTCCGGCTTCGACTCGCAAATGATCAATGCGCTGCAGATCGTCGAGCCCTGGAAGGATTGTGAGTAGTCGCACGGATGAGGAGAGCTAGGGAAGCATCACCGAGACTGACTGTGCCTGCTAGATTTCGGGAACCCGGAGGGTAGTTTGAAGGGCATCATCGCGGCTGCGTACTCGCTGGGAGCGATCCTGTCGCTTCCCTTTATCCCTATCGTCAACGACAAGTTTGGAAGGCGATGGTCCATCTTTGGCGGGAGCTGCATCATGATCCTGGGAGCTCTGATCCAAGGATTCTCACAACATGGTGAGTAGCATTGCACCGCACTTACTGATCGTGATGGCTGATGCTCCAATAGTCGGCATGTACATTGTCGCCCGCATGATTCTCGGCTTTGGTATCCCGACCTGTATCGTCTCTGGCTCATCTTTGATCGGTGAACTTGGATACCCCAAGGAACGTCCAGTTCTCACCTCTCTGTAAGCCATTCTCACATTCGGACACCTCCAGAATGCAGCTGACAGCTCTACAGCTTCAACGTTGCCTACTTTGTTGGACAAATCACCGCGGCGGCCATCTGCTTCGGCACCAACAACATCGCTAGCAACTGGTCGTGGCGCATCCCGTCTCTGCTCCAGATCTGCCCTTCTCTCCTGCAAATCAGCTTTGTCTTGTAAGCCAGTCACATTCCCTCCCTTCTTCCCATCCCCCGTGAAGACACCTAACATCGCGCGCGCCCAAGCTTCCTCCCCGAGAGCCCCAGATGGCTCATCACCCAGGACCGCACCGAGGAGGCCAACGCGATCCTCGTCAAGTACCACGCCGAGGGCGACCCCAACTCCGAGTTTGTCAAGGCCGAGATCGCCCAGATGAAGACCGTCATCACCCTCGAGATGGAGGCCTCCAAGCAGTCCTGGATGGACCTCCTCCGCACCGCCGGCATGCGCCGCCGCTGCCTCATCACCTCGATGCTCGGCCTTTTCACTCAATGGAGTGGAAACACTCTCATTTCATACTACCTAGGTACTGCTCTTCAAAAACATCCCGTGGCGGCTTCCGGAGTGTTGTTTTCTAACTACCTATCTAGGCGACCTCCTCGGCATGATCGGCATGAACGACTCCCTCACCAAGCAGAAGATCAACGTCGGCATCGCCTGCTGGTCCCTCGTCTGCGGCGTCACCGTCGCGCTGCTCGTGCGCCGCTTCCGCCGCCGCGTCATGTACCTCGCCTGCACCATCTCGCTGCTGCTCTGCTACATCTCGTGGACCATCTCCATGGAGCGCGCCGTGCACGCCCTCGACAACGACTACAAGAACCAGTCCGCCTCCATCGCGACCATCTTCTTCATCTTCATGTACTCGCCCTGCTACAACATCGGCTACAACGCGCTCACGTACACCTACCTCGTCGAGCTGTGGCCGTACGCGCTGCGCTCGCGCGGCATCTCCTTCTTCCAGCTCTTCGGCCGCATGGCCGGCTTCTTCACCACCTTTGTCAACCCCATCGGCATCAAGAACGCGAGCTGGCGGTACCTCATCAGCTACTGCTGCTGGCTCGCGTTCGAGGTCGTGTTTGTGTACTTCATGTTCCCCGAGACGGCGGGACGCACGCTCGAGGAGCTGGCTTTCTGTGAGTTTCAGTGTATGATGAGTGTGAAGATGACGTGGCTGACTGTTCGCTCCCAGTGTTTGAGGACAAGGCTCTTGCTGAGCAGGCCAATGGCGCCGTTGAGAAGGTTATTCACCACGAGGACATGGAGCCGATTGGTGAGCGTAAGACGGCGACTGGTCAGGCTGAGGCTGTGGAGGATGTCACAAACAAGTCTAGGGTCTAAGTGGCTTCACAAAATAACGGTTCTCAACAAGCGAAGGAGGCAGCAATGGATGTGTATTGGCTGATAATAGCTACAAATAATTGAGTGATTGACTTACGAGAAGCATCCTTGCTCATTCGATGTACACACGTGAGGATGTCAGATGGACTCATGAAACTGAAGAATCTCGTTCGGACATCTAGTTATGTGGACGGCCTCTTGGAGGTACCTATGGAATCTTTTTCAGTGAATTGACGCGAGCTGCATGATTCTTTGCCCCATCGAATATGCTTGAACTAGGGACGATCGCATTGAATACCAACATCAGTACTTCTTCTCCGTAGCGGGTCTGCGTTCAGGTTAGTGGGGCCGTGAGATCGGAGCCGGCTGCGACATCAACCATGAGTTCCGTTCGGCGAGGTCAAGCAGAAGAAGCTCGGGACAAGGCACGTCACATTAAGAACAATTAAATTCGATAAGATTTGCGCAAAACAATCGAGAGTCTTAGTAGGCGTGACATGGCCATCACGGGGCCAAAAAGCATCATCCAATGCATGCTAGGTAGGTTCTCAACAGACAACAAAAAAAGATATCTCTCTCGCCCGGAATCGAACCAGGGGCGCCACCGCGACAAGGAGGCATGTTACCATTACACCACGAGAGATTGGTATTTCTTGTTGTCGGGATCAAGGCCAAAAGATAGGTCTATGTAGTGACTCACGGTTACTAGAGGAAACGAAGAGACGAAAGGGTTGGTCGTCATGGTTGCCTTCAGGGTCTGACTCACACGGTAAGACGCCACGGACAGTTTCAAGAGATCTTCAGGTTTGCGAGAATAGGTAGGATGGAAATATGGAATGGTACTGAGGTGAGAAGTTGACATGGTAAATTTGGCAGGGAGCATATAAGTCGACTGACGTGGTGTTTCATGATACAGCCTCTAACCCAACGTTATCGCCCTGGAGAAGAGGTGAGGTGCCATCACCAGTGTTGATCTGGAGGGCCCTCGAGTCAAGCTCGTCAATGTCCTCCAGGACGTCGACGTGTTGATCTTGACTATCCGCGTCAATGGACTGAGCAGCCAGATTCCCCTCACCGACGCCGCCAAGGCCGCGAGCGTGAGACGATTGGTCCCCTGCATCATAGCCACCGTCACGCCTCCCAGGGGCGTCCTCATACTGCGCCGGCTGGTGAGGACCTCCTAACAGAGCGTATGTCCTGAATCTTGCGCTAACCTTGGTTCCTGGGTATGGAAGGAGAAGGCACTTCTCCACGCAAAAAACGATTTCCCTCCCGTACACAGTCATCGACGTCGGCCGGTGGTACCAGCTCAGCATTCTGCGCCTCTCCTCTGGGCATATAGACTCCGCGACGCCGTTACCGGTGAACATCATCGCCGGAGATGGTAACACTCCCTCTACGCTGACGGACGTGAGAGACGTTGGAAGATTCACTGCGCGCATCGTCGCCGATCCTCGCACCATCAACAAGACGGTTCTCGTCTATAATGCCGTTCTCTCCCAGAATCAGATTTTCGACATGCTGGATAAGATGAGTGGCGAGACTTCCAAGCGTGACTACATGGGTGTTTGTCGACAGTGAGTTGGATGTGCCACACCTTGACTGACCTGCTTTACTTTCACAGATGTCTGCTGAGGGCTTGGAGACCGCTCTCTCGGAGCCTTTGACAATGGACGCGATCGAGGAAAACGCTTTTGATCATAGGATGACAATATTTCACGAGTACTGGTACTCCATGGGCGTCCGCGGAGACAACACTTCAGAGTACGCCGACTTCCTTGGGTACATTGACGGCACAAAGTTGTACCCTGACTTCAAACTCATCGACTTCAAATCCTTCCTTGAATAGGTTCTTGAGGGAAAGTCAGTTTCTATCTATAATACTCTCAAGGATGAGTTAATGAATAATGATAGGTAGGCTGGAACTACTAGATAATATGTAGCATGGGTCTTGTTGGATGATGATGCCCGCAAATGTGATGGTCGACATTGCTCCGTGGCCGATTTAATGTTGGGCAACCGGAGAGAGAGAAAGTCTTCGTCTAGACGCCAACATTTTGTAGGCTGTGTAACCGTTCACTTAGGCCTAGAAATTGACTTCATGCTTTCTAGATAGCTTGCGTCTACATTGAACGGTTCTTTGATTTTTCATTTCCTCCGACTTCAGCATTCGTTGAGCTGCAACCCATATGCTATGTGCGGGCTTAGATAAAGTGGAACGTCATCCTTCTAAGTGGTGAACGAGGGATCAAACTCACCCCACTGTCGCTTGAAGCTGTAGTATTGCATCCGGAAGACGCTTGTCATCGGAATTCTTTGTCGTCGGAGCAGTTTCCAACTGAAGAAAGATGTGTATGGCGCCGCAATGCCGCATTCTAACCCAACATATGCGAGCGAATGAGAAGCACATAGTCTGGGGTACGATGCAACGGCACGCATGGCTTGGGTATCATTTTAGTGGCACCTGTGGAGCTGAGCCCATGGGACTTCGGTGCTTAGGACAACCAACATCGCGCGTTGAAGACATGCCATGGTTATTGATTGGCCTGTCGCCCGGGACTCTCGTTGGAACTATGGGGAACCTATCAAGGGTCAACGTCGCTCGTATGCATCTTCATGGAAGATGTCGGCCGCCCGTACCGCTCAAGCTCTCCCTTGCGAATATAAAAGTTCAGGGTTTTGTCGGTCATCTTGAACTGAACTGGTTCGCTTTCGTCACTAGGTGCGACAACAAAATCATAAGGGAGATGGGGTCTTTGCCAGAGGCTTATACCTTCCAGGGGATTCCGCAACTTACCCCGTTGGAGCAGATCAGTCCTCGGGGATGGGTGCGGTACCTGTTTCCATTCCAACTCCCAGAGAACTACGATCCTGAAGCTATCACCGATATCTTTCGCAGGAGCCTCCAGGCTACTAAGAACCGTTTCCCAACATTGGCTTGCGAAGCTCTTCCCGACCCTGACGCGAGACAAGCGAACGCCCTAAAGCTTCAGAGGATCACCGACAACGAGATTGAGCCTATCATTATCAACGATCTGCGCCAGTCGTCAAACTTCACAAGCTCGTTTACCGACCTCAAGTCCAAGCACTTCCCCGTATCGAGCTTCCCAGCCGAAGTCTTCACGCGCTGCCCAATTTGGCCTGCTCCTGGGCAGCGGGTACCTATCACAATTGTGCAAGCTAATTTCATCCGCGGGGGCTTGATCCTAAACTGGAATCTTTTCCATCTGGTCGGTGACGGGCAGGCATTCTACAACTGGATTCGGGTTTGGGCTGAAGAAACTCGCCGAGCTCAAGGCCTTGACATTCCAGATCCGGTTCATTATCCTGAGCCCATCTACACGGACCGCCAGATTGCACACAAGTCGTCGCAGACCCTTCCAAAAGGCAAGGCAGGGCGTCTTACAGACCATCCCGAGTACACTATTGTCACAGATCCTGCGACGCAGCTTGCCAAGATCGCAACGACGGATGGCCACGTGGGACAGATCTTCTACCTATCAAAAGATTCGTTGCAACGGCTGAAGCAAGATGCTCAGCCTCAGACAGATGACGGATCCTACGTATCTACCAATGACGCACTCTCTGCATTGATTTGGCGAAGCATCATGGCAGCTCAGTTCGACATAACTCAGCTAGACGGCAGCGAAAGGTCCGTTTTCAACATTGCCATCGACGGTAGAGGACGAAGTCAGCCGCCTATTCATCCGGAGGCCATGGGAAGCTTTCTTGGCTTCATCCAAGGCGAACTTCCCATCAAGAAGATTCTTGAGGCCGACAACCTCTCGGGCCTGTCCCTCTTGATCCGTAAAGCCATTATTGCAATGGACAAGGATTTTTCAGGCTCGTTCATCAATGACGTCGTGCAGCTGGTGAACAACCAGGACGACCTCGGTGCGCTCATACCGACATCGTTCTTGGATGTTCCTGGTCGTAACTGTGCACAAACATCATGGGAGAAGTTCAAAATGTACGATCTTGATTGGGGCCACGCGCTGGGTGGTAAAATTGCAGCTATCCGCTCACCTAGCTGTGGCATCCTAAATGGTATGCAGATCATGTATCCTCAACACCCTGACGGTGGTCGTGAGATGCTGGTCGGTATCTATGAGAATTGTTTGGAGAAGCTTTGCAACGATCCGGTCTGGACGAGGTATGCGGAGCGTCGATAGTGAACACAGCTATCAAGGCAAGAGGATATTGCCACTGAGAGTAAATACAATCGCATAGTATAAATAAGTTTCATCGCACTCTGCAAGGCCTAAAGTAAAATGAGGTTGACGGTCTTAGAATGAATTGATCTTCGCGGCAAACCCGGGTCTAATTCAGTGGGGCTACGGCTTCGGCGGCGATAGACCTCGGCGCTGTGTGTGTGTGTGTGTGTCATTTTACGCCGGTGCGCCCCTGTGTCTTAGGGCAAAGGGCGTCCAGCAGTCATGTATCTAGGCCTATCGAAAACAATCAAATAAAAGAAATATTCCAAGAGACACCGGAAGTATATGAAGCCAGATGGACCTTTCGCGCTATGAGGGGGCGAAGGGCGGTCGATTTCATCACTTGCGACTACGGCGGATCAGTACGGTGCTCAAGCTTCATGGTTTCATAAAGGGATGAAAGCTGATGAGATTTTACCTAGCTAGGCCCTTTGAATGGAAGCTGGCCGGTATGCTAGGTTCTTTTCCCTCGCAGTCTAAGATGTATGCCGGCCGCTGCTAACACAAGTCTACTCATAGACCTAAGAAAGACTCGGAGCAACAGTTTAGCTTACCCCGGTCAAAATAAGACTAAATATAAGCCCTCTAAGTTAATACTGTAGATGCAGATCGAACCAGTGTATTTGTAATTGTAACATTATATCTAACGTGGTTCATCAGTCAGCCGGCCGGACCAGTCAGCCGGACGTTTTTTTCTAAACACTCTTACGTCCAAATCACTTAAACCTTTGACGCGTAAAATCTCAACAACTATAATGCTAATCTACACCCAAGAAGACAAAGTCATTCTCGCGATTGAAGCGATCCGATCGACACGCGCTGCAGGCAATAACTTAAGCATTTTGCGTGCTGCAAAGACCTACGGTATCCTAAAGAGCACCTTAGCCGATAGAATGAACAACCGACCGCGACGCGAACAAGCTTAACCCCAACGACATAAACTCGATCCGATCGAAGAGAAAACACTTCTCCAATACGTTATTGAACAGGATTCCAGAGGATTTCCTTTCCGCCTGAGCGGTGTGGAAGATATGGCTAATCTCCTGCTGCGAGCCCGTAATGGCAAGCCTGTTGGCAAGCGATGGGCCAGGCGGTTTGTGGACTCACAGCCTGCTCTGAAAACCAAGTTTAATCGTCTATACGATTATCAAAGGGCTCTTCAAGAAGATCCTGAGGTTATATCAAAGTGGTTTGCGCTATTACGCAACATGATGGCCAAGTATGGCATCCAAGAGGGGGACCTATACAATTTTGACGAAACTGGCTTCATGATGGGCATGATCACCGCGTCAATGGTGGTTACACGCGCCGATCGACGCGGCAAAGCAAA